AGTAATAAAGAATGGAAGTCTGTACCGCTAATAGCAGATTTGTTACATAACAAAAAGCAAATTAAGGACAGGCTCAGATGAACGCAATTCTAGCGAAGCCCAGGAGATATATGCAAGTGAAACATTTAATCTTCCTTCATCTTCTCACGTGGTATGGTTAATCACCCACCTGTGGAGCCTGGAAGACAACTGTAGTTAAAGGTAACTACAGAAACAATATAAAATTACCAGAGTTATGCCACTACACAGTTATGTTCCTAAACAAAATATTGCATTCCCCTCCTCCCTCTGGCAAATGTGATTCCAGAGGGGGTGATTTGTGACACAAGAGAATAATACTCTTTGTTGTGACTGGTTCCTATTAGCGATACTCTCTGTAAAGCTGCCAAAAAGGCTGAAGGTCAGTAATCAACTAAGCATGGATGAAAATATAAGGCCACATTTATGTTGCATAACTTCCACTAAAGAAGCTAAGCAACACCCATTTGGTAAACGGGGAGCTGGTGTTGCCGGAGATCGATGAGAAGGGCCCGGGGAGGTGCTGGGCAGCGAGCAGCTGGGGTCAGGCAATGGGGAAGGGCAGCTGGAGGAGCACCGGGGAGAAGAGGCTGTCTTGGTGCGATCCCAGCATCTGTAAAACTCTGTTGAGATTCAACCTGCACCCAAACCAACAAATAAAAACAGTGTGTCCCTGTGAGGTAAATAGCTCATTCCCCTTCTCAAGAGCTGTGCACAGGACGCACTTTCTATCGAGTCTCACTGTACATCACTACACATGCGTCTTAAAACCTTTTTTTTTTTTAAATTAAAAAAAAATAAACTACCTGCCTGTATATGTGAACCTGTTACCTGACAAATGGGATTACCTTGCTTGAAATGCACCTACACTCCCTGGGGCTGGGGTGAGCATCTTCAAAATATTCTGATGAATTTCAGTGTGGGTTGTTAGAATACAGGTTTGCTAAGGGCTGCAGAAAGAAGAGTTAAACACCAAGATTTTTCTAAAACCATTATTTTAATTTTGGGCTATTAACACCAGTATCCCTGTATTTTACATTGTATTTCAAGTTTGAACTTGAGTCAACACACATATTCACATGTACCCAACTTTCACTTTGTGTAGAGGCCAATCCATACTTAGAAATATAGAAATAATAGAATAATAGCACAAAATAGAAATAATCTCTGGGAAATGGGGCTAGAGGAAAAACCCATAGGCTTTTACCACCTTAATGCATGTCCAAACATGCCACCCCCTGCAGTTCTGACTGGCTAAACGTATTTTCCCAAGCTGCCCCAGGTAACCCCTTTGTCCCTGCCATTATGTCAAGACATCACTTTTAGAATTGTCCCCATGTCACCTGTCAAAGGGCAAGCTACATTTACAGATAGCTTTAAAATTTGAGATAGCTGCAAGATGTGATGAGTAATTGCATACCTAAGGGTACCTGAGAAGGGTGACTGGCTAACCTCACCCTCTGCAATGGGGGGCAGCTGCTGAAGTGGGTCAGAAACATCAGCAGAGGAGAAACAGCACTGACAGCACCGGAGCCGCAGCCCAGAATGCAGACTGCCACCGCTTCTCAGGGCTACAAACAGACTTTCTCTTAGAGAATCGATGGGACAGCAGTGATCCCAAAATATCTTCTAAGATTAGGTCACAATTACTCTTCCAGGCTAATTATTTGGGAAGACTCCTAAAGATAAGAAAGAGCTAAATCCAGAAGTAAATCTGCTCTTCTCCCCAAAGACTAAGTGAATAGTGAATGCCTTTTTGTTTTTTTTTTTTAAACCTTGAGCCGGTGAACATCTCATAATGTGCTTAGACCGGAAACCAAACAGCCAAGTCCTGAACAAGTATCCACCCCAGGAATCCAGGACAAGGAATGGACACTCCTCTCCCATGTTCTCATTTATCCACACAAAACATGGAATCAGTAGTTCAAAAGGGAAAACTGATCATTCTCAAAGTATAAAAGGACAGAGAAGTCAATGAAACACAGGACTGGACTCAGTGAGCCTTCTCACTCAAGAGGTTTCACCAGAAACAGATGTCCTGGGTTCAGCTGAGACAACTAACTTTCTTCACAGTAGCTAGTGAGAGGGTGTGGTTCGGATTTGTGCTGAGAAGAAGGCTGATGACATACTGATATTTTTAGCTGCTGCCAGGACATCCAAGGTCGTTTCAGGTTCTCTGCTGTGCCAGTGTCTGCAGGGGCAGAGGAAGCTGGGAGGGAGCACAGCCCCAATTACTAGCCTGGGGTTTGATCTTAGGTTCAGGACTGAGACCCAAAGTGGCCGATGGTCTACTCTGTAACACACACGTCATGCCCAGTATATAGGTGAGGGCCCTCGGGAACCTCATCCCTTTTCGGTTCTGGATCCCCTTCTTGCTCCAGGCTGGCTCTCTCAGGGTGGTCCCTTTCCCTGGGTTGTCTCCCTCCCTCAGTGAGCTCTCTGTCAGGGATGCTCGGGCTCTTACCTCTGTTCCAGGAGTGCAGTTTTGGGACTCTCCCTGCTCCAGGATCGTTAGCTAGGAACGGGCTGAGCCTTGGTCATCGGGTGGGGGGGGCAGTATCACTGTGTATCACTCATTTGTTTATTTGCATATAGTATTCTTTTCAATATTATTGTAGTTTAGTTATTAAATTGTTCTTCTCTCAACCCACGAGTCTCTTTTCCCTTTACCCTTTCAATTCTCTGCCCCATTCCTGGGGAGGGGGTTGGTGAGAGAGCGGTTTGTGTGGGGTTGGCTCCCAGCCAAGGGTAAACCCATCACAACAGGTCTGAAAAATAATTTTTATGTAATTCTCATTTTAAAATTCTCCTTCATGTCTCTGGCATATAAACATAAGAGTTTTGTATATGATAAGATTTTTGGACTTTCTCTCAGTAAGAATGACACAATTTAAATCAGCCAGAAGGCCATTCACATAACAAAATATTTTTGGTTTAACCTTTTTCAAGGAACTGCAATAAATCTGAAAGCATGCAGATAGGCAAAATAAAATAACATCAAATGATACAGTATTCTCTTTATTTTACTTATATTTAGAGAATACCTAGCTTCAGAATACAAAAGCAGCTTCTGCAGACAAACCCCCACTGCTGCCAGGCTTCACCCGCTCTGCGCCACGGTTGTTAGACTACGAAGCAAATCATTAATCTTTGGCCAGCAAGTTGGTCAGCAGTTTGCAGAGAGTATGCAGAAACTTGTGCAAGAGCAAAACCATTTTGTCAGCTCATTACAAAGTTAAAATACAGAACCCAGGTACCTGCTGAAGCGCCAGGGCTGGTGGAAGCTCCCGAGTGGGCCCCAAGGCTGTCCAGGCAAGCAGGGCACGCAGCTCTAAACCACCAGGTCTTCCACAACAGACATTTCTCTTCACTCATACTGGACCTGGCACATTAAGCAGCTACTGAAAGCATGTGGTAACAAGAAGAATGTGATTTTCTTCCCTCTCCTCCATGTTTAATTCTCCCCCACCTCTGTACACACCAAAAATTACTCTAAAAAAAGAATTACTGTCTCTAGTCCTTTATTAAAGAAATCACTCTAGTGAACATCAGGTTTCACTGTGTTTTCATATGCGGATGTCTGTAAGAGTGTATCAGTCAAGGGAAAAAATGATAATATTTTATATTACTAAGAATATATATAAACTTCCAACAGAAAGTTGTAGTCAAACAAAGCATTGCTGCCAAAATGCCTCAAAGGACTGTGGTAGAAAGACTCTTCTGAAGAAACTGAAAAAGGGAAAGCGACAGCATAAACTAATAGGAAAAAAAAAATCTGATTTCCACTTATAATCATCTCAGGTACAGCAGATAAATATAATTTATGCCTATGATTTTAAACATCCTCACTAAATTTAATGGCAGATTAAAAAAAAAATCCAGTTATTCTAAGTATTGCACAACGCTGGCAATGGCACATAGAGAACCAATGTGACGCCCTTATCAGCTGCAGCTGTTCAGTTACTCAGGAACCTCCCCCACCAAACCTGTAGTTTGTAAGACACAGGGGAAAGGGAGGTATATTGACATGCAGGCGATACTGAGCTTAAAGCAAATCTTATTAGGGTAAAAATCTTGAGGGGAAAGAAGGAAGATGAAGAAGAAAAAAAGAGGCAAAAAACACAGAATAAAATCCCAAATTATCAAAGTCTGAACTGAAAATTTGTCTCAGGTTTTTCACATGAAGCTGCATTATTGCCTGTGTGAACTTTTCCCATGACTACACAGCCTTTTATAGTAGCACCACAACTCCACCCAGAATAGTTAAAATGAATAGTTTTACTAAAGTAATGTCATATAAACTAATTTGCCAGAGCCAATGCCAGCCAGTGGTGATATGAAATTATCCTTACCTCTACTAGTTTGACTGAAGTGACCTCAACGGAGGATAAAAATGCTGCATCTCCTATCAGACGAGAAGATTCTTCATTGGGATATACTGCAGTGGCCTACCACTGCCTGCCCCCACACTGCACAGGCTAACAACAGTTATATTTTTCCCATTGAAAACCACAATATATACAAAAATATTTCTATTTAAAATAACATTCAATCCAGCCTATTATAGAGGATAAAAAAACCCCCTTGCTTATAACTTTAACTTTCAGTGCCTCCATCATACTGGTAACTTTTAACACGCCAGGAAAACTAATCACATCTAGCTCGCATAAATACTCAAACTGCCCAAAGAGGCACAGTTCACCCTTGGCTAGAATGTACACAGGATCCTCCACATGGGGATGGAGATGGCATTGCACAGCTTCCGCAGCGGAAACCATCTATGTTTTCTCATGTTCAAAACTTCAAGTTTGTGTTGTTCTCAACTACCAATCTCAGCTGTCAGCCTTTCTCTTCAAGCAACACGTTAGGTCTCTGAGCCTACAAAGGTACCTTTTAGTCCCTAGTACTGAATTCTGAGACACACCCATTTGACAAGAAGACACAGGAAAACACATAATCAAACGCATTCTTTATTAATGATTTCAGAAGTCATCTTCTGAGTCATAATCCTCATTTTTTTGCAGTGGCCGCTTAATACCAATTATTAAATCTATGGAAAGAAGCTCCGTAACACAATGAAGAACTGAAACGACTAACTGGTATTTGCAATACACTGATTCTAAGCCTTTCTTGTTCATAGGCAGTGGCTGATCTTTTCTGAGCGCATGTATGGCTTCGAGATAGAATCTGGGAAAGCTGTTTTGTTCCGCTGTCCCATACAAAGACTTGGGAATACTGAGCAAAGCATCAGCAACTACGTTAGATATGAGAGTTACCTCTGACTGCTGAAACTGTTTTGCATAGTACTGAATATAATAATGTAACAGGATTTCAAAGTACCCTCCTACTGGCAAAACTGACCCTGCTTCTATAAGGGAGTTGGGATAATTCTGTGCAATACTTACACAACTCTTTTCATGTTTAAATGGAGCTATATTGCAACTTGTTTTCTCTAGATCTTTGCCAACATACAAGCATTCATGGGCAGTGACTATGCAAGCATTATGTCCTGCTAATAAAGCACTGCTGCAGTTCTTTTGATTGTCCACAGGTGAATCACTTTTACAGTTCTCATCCATGCCACCCAAATACTCGCATTTTCCATCCACTTTCTGTATGTCTCTTGAAGAGCCATCTCCTTCAGCGGCAACATTGAACTCTTTGACGTGTGAGATGGGATTTGAGGGCATTTTTAAGTCTATTTGCACACGTACTGAATTTTCACTTCGCTGCAAATCAGGGTCTACGGTTTGTGCCTCTGTTTCATCCCTATCTGCTTTCAGTTGATGTTCAGAAGCCTGATTACAAGTCACATTTTCTACTACAAATTGCTTCTGAGTAGCTGAAGAACGGCAACTGCAAGCATGTGAGGTTTCATTCTGGCTTTCACCTTCTGCTTTACATTCCTCCCTCCGATCAACTGTTTTAAAGAGCTGCTGCAGCATTGTAAATGCCCCCTGTAAAGCAGCAGCATGTTGCTCATTAACACCATCCACCGGCCCACAAAGAATCAGGCAGTGGGGCTGAAAGGCGCACACACTGGTAAAGCCAATGTGAACGCATCTCTTTGAGCCCAGCAGCAAGGGCTGGCAAAATGTTGCCACCACGGTTTCAGTGATTTCTCCGCATATGTTGTCACCAAAAGGTGCACAAGGCGAGACTCCTGTGATTTCACAGATAAGGGCCATTTCTTCCGACGATAAGCACTCTACCACAGACACACCGTATAATTTTGCATAGTAGATAACTACTTCGTCTTGCTTCACGCTCGACAGCAATAGCTTAACGTTGTTGTTCTGCAAGTGTTTCATTACGGCTTCGGTCCTCCTCGTGATCCAGTGCAGGGAGGCCTGATACTGACCCTCGGATTCGACAACAAACTCGACGCCGGGACCCGAGAGGGCGGGCCGGAGGGGCTCGGTGACGAGCAGGGCCCGCAGCTCCCCACCCGCCGGGCAATAAGCCGCGAAATCCCTGCGGAGGACGAG